GGGGCCCGTTTATACGAAAAATATACGACCAATTTTCCACCGCTTTGCAAGTGGGGGGAAAAAGCGTTAAAAATCCCCTTCCCCTCCGTTCTTTTCTTCCCATCCCCTAACCACGCGCATTGTTAATTAATTTGACACGAGAGAATGTTGAAATCGAGGTTTAATTTTCCATTGTGGCGCATCGTTAATCGAGCCGAGTCGGTTCGCCTGCCACCACGTGCCACCACCATCCACACACGCGACACACGAGCGCAATATCGTTTTTTCTCGCCGAATGGAATAACAGAATTATTAACGTTCGCGAATTATTATTCGTAAAATTTGATTCGAGTTCGACGCGCGCGCCAGTATCGCCTCGATTTATGTTAATATTTTCCCTCGTATGATATAATAACCCGAATATTTTTCGTTCATCGATCGAGTAATTATTACACGGACATCGTGTCGCGTTTAATTAACAGGCTACCCCGAAATCGAGGAGTTTGAGATTTTTCCCGAAATCATCGGGATATCGTGTTATTAGTAAATATGGCGGTATTGCGGTTCAATCGGCATGGCTCATTTGCCTCATAAAGGCGGAACTAGCAGCTGACGTGCAGTTACATATATACCGCAAATTGGCTCGCGTTCAAGGCAGGAACTCGAAACGATATGCCTGGGAACATGCCACGCGAGATCATTCGACGACGTGATTAACTTGCCGCGTGTTCACGCCATTGATCGTTCCGCAAAGTCGAAAGCGTATTATCGTGCGAAAATTAATTATAAATCGTACGGATACGTTTCTTTTTCTTTCTTTCTTTTTTTTTTTTTTTTGTTGTACAGGCTGATTTCTGTTATCGTTCACATTTGAATTGGTTGCAAATTGTTTGTCGTGTGGAAAAATGTTTTAACCCGTGCGTCGATACTGCTAGGTATAGGTTTTATTTAAAATTTGAAAACTTTTGTTTGTTTGGATGGATCTTCTAAGCTAGATCACAATTGACTTTAATAATATGGAAAATATTAATAGTAAAAGTCTTTTATTTTAATTTTCTTAATTATAAAATTTGACACTTATACGATTGGAAAAAATGATAAACGATGGCTAAAAGATTATTAAGAATCGAATTAAAAAGCAGATATATTTGAAGAATATGATCTTTTGATTAATCATGCACTCATGTTGAGAATGGATAATATTTTACATTTAAAGTATCTTGGTAATTTTTTGATTCAGTAATAATTTTTATACATTTTGCTATTAAAAAACTCAAGGCAAGTATAAAAAATCAAAAAGTTATTTTTAATTTGTTGCTTTTCTTCGTATATGCTTTTTGAAGCATTTTCGTATAACAAATATTTTACAAATAAATTAGATAGCAATATTAGAACAATTACTATGGATAATTTACATATTTATTAAATGTAATAATTCATTAATCATATAAATGAATAAATATTGCATACTCTTTGCACACGGTGTTTTAATGTGTAACGTGATCGTTTATATAACGCTTAAGGGTAAATATTTAATGTCTAGTAAATTACCTTCCGTAGTAAAACGAGGTATTTAAGTATGGGGTAAAATGAGATGCCATCACGTTTATGCCGAGGAGGTTGACAACATCTTCATTTGTAATTTTGCTTTTCAAGTAGATTAAAATATATTAAAACAAGGTGTTTTAAAATGAGGTGAAATAAATTAAAAAAATTAGTTAAGTTAAAGTAAACGAAAATCAGTTCATATGTATAACAAAGAATAAAGATTTTTGCGCGAAAATCTCTCTCTAAATTTTCCCATGATATGTCATAAATTTGAGGAGATTTAAATAGAAACGCATTTAAAATTGAAAACTTTGCTATTGTGATTGATAATTTTTTTCTTTAACATTAAATAATTTGAAAAGAGTGGTTTTTAAAATTTTAATTGTTCTCGTTTTAATTTAAGATAAGCATGCAATTTAATCTCTTGTGTTCATTATCGTTTAGATTTTTCTTTTTTTTTCTTTTCTTTTCTTTGTACCTTTGTATTGCATATAGTTTTGAATATTTTAAAATGTTAGTATAAAAATTTACAAAAATCATACATTTTAAAATTTAAAAGCTTTGCATCAAAATTATTTAAACTTTATTATTTATTATCATGAATCATCCAAATTATATATCTTTTTTTATAAGTTTAAATATAAACTTGTAAAGTAGTAGTTGTAAGTTGTTCAAATATAAATTTAATATTTCAAGAAGCTCACATAAAGCTTATAATAACTCATTGATTTTCGTCTTTTGTTGTAGCTTCGAACAAATAATTTTTCATTGGAGGGAAAAATTGAAAGAAAAGAGCCATAAAATACCGTAAACGATTTAAGAAAATATATCGAAAATAATCTAGGAGAAACAATGGAAGACGTAATATTTTCAATAAAACAATGCCATTCTACATTTATTCGTCATTTCATGTAGATAAAAGTAAAAAAGATGGATAAATATGAAGCCAAGAATGAATGCAGAGAATGCACTTCGTTATTTCAAACAAATAAACAGAATATCCTCGTGTATTTACGGTTCATCATTTTTCCAAACAATCAAACAGTCCTTCTTTGAATAAGCTATTTCAAAATGGAGGAACTTTTAAATGTATTCAAAGAATTTTTTAAACACGTTCTTTTTACAAATACGAAATAAAGAAAAATGAATACAATAATAAAATTATGTACAAGATGAAATGTTTTGAGGAATTTTCATATATTTAAAATTTTATATACTATATTTTATACACGCTAACCTAAATAACTTTATTAAAATATTTGATTTAAAAAATATTTTTAAAATTGTATATATTAATAATAATTATTCTAATTCCAAAATTAAACAATAACTTATTAGTAAAGTTTCGTTAAAAAATATATATCTTGCGAATAATTTTTCATTTCACCTTTTTTCTATATTTTTAATAATCATGAAACTCCCAATATTCAATATTTTTCTCGTTCCAATTTCTTAAATATATATTTCTGATTTCATTTCAACAGTAACACATTAGTGTACATACGAACGTCCATAATTCCAAATTAAATTTTATTTTCATTCGAATAATGGAGATACTGAAAAAAATACAATGAATCAATCAAGTGATCAATTCTTGAAATCGAAACTCCGTCAATCGGAAGATAAAAAAACGAAAAATAAAATAAATAATAAAGAAACAAAATGACATCATTAAACGAAAGTTGCGTTATAATAAATTGCTCTCGGCTAATTGGATCGGTCGAGACACTTTCGTCAACGAAGAGACGCGATTAGAAGCGTTGGAACGTTCTTTCTTTTCGAGATTTTTCGCGTTTTACGCGCGCGCGAGGAAGTCGTCTTCGTTAATTAAAATCCCGCGCGCGGGAAATACAATTGCGCGAAAATTAATTAAAAGCCACTTGCCCCAATAGGGCCCATTATTTTCGTCAAAATTTTAACCCCTCTCCCCCCTATAAATGTTAATTAAGTTAATTGGGAATGGCCGAGAGGTGGCGTTTTAATCGCCACGTTTATTGCGAAAATCGTGGCTCGTAAATTAGATCGGCATCTCCTTGGAAGATACAACTTGGTTGCCACCTCTTTCGTTTAATTTCTAATTAAATCACCGCTTCCGTCCATCGATGGAAATAATAATTCGACGCCGCGACGAGAAGGGGGGAGGGGAACGGGGGATGTTGTTCGACGCTGCGAACGGCAACAAGCCCCTGAAAACCGGGAAACTGAAATTGCCGACAATTTCCACGAGTTTTCCATTGTTCCACGCGTCTTCTGTTTATACCGGCGGCGGCAAACTCGTTTACGGAAATGGCGACGCCGGTGAATTAACCCGGCCAGATTTACGATAACTCGACCTCCCGCGAAAATCCTTGTTGTGAATTTTCTTTTCCTTCGGCGATCGGAGAAAAGAGAAACTTATGGCGGCAAATGTACAAGATTTCGACGAGACGATAAAGGGGTATCGTTACAGGGTGTGTAATACGATACGATTTAAATCTCAAATGGTGGCGTGGAATTCGATAATTCTCGCCCCTCCCCTATGAATATCATGAATACGATAAACGGAAGGTGTACAAGTCAAGTCACGTGTAAAAGATGAAACTCGTTTTATATTGTATTAAGGGTATCGTTACGATGGATATATCGTGTAACTTTTGCTCTTGGAACTTTAATCCGTGGATGGAGGAAGAAGGAGAGAGAATTGTTTCTTGGCGCTCGAAGTGCGTAATAAGATATAAATTTAGAATTTGAGAGGAAGATAGGATTGAATAACGGTCGTTGAAGATAATTTTATAAAATTGTAAATTATAATATATGATAGTAAATTTGTGTAAATTGAATTGTAAATTATCGTGAATATGTTATGCACAGAAAATTAATAAAATTTCTTTCAAATCTGTATAAAAATTATTCCAATTATAATAAAATGAAATTCTTATTCTTTTCGCTATTAAAAATCTTGAAATGAAGTTATACTAATTTTACGTGAAAAAATATAAATATGACTTAAAATTTATCCGTAAAATTTCAATGAATTAATACGAAATTTTAAATTCAATACGAATTATCACCATTAATATTTTCTAAACACTACAAATATCAAAAATAACCAAACATTTTCGATTAATTATTTCGTTGCACGATGCGTATTCTTAACAAGATTATCATTTGATTATTAAAAAAAAATTCACTACGAAAAAAAAAATAAGAAAGAACGGCAGTAAATAAGGGACATAAAATTGTATGAAATACTGACTTTAACCGTTTCCCTTTTTCTTTCTTTCTTTCCTTCTTTTTTTTTTCTTTTTCTTTTTTTTTTTTTTTTCAGAACACTACTGCAAAAGAAGATCACGTTTCTCGCGCCGTAACTGAAATATTTATAATATTCCAGCGTTTTCTATTCACGTCGGTAAAGAGACAATCCTCTGTAAATGCGATAAAACGTTGTAAAAGACTCTTTGAAAGCGCGATACAACATTCTGAGCTCGTCTTACCCTTTCTCGACACAGTCGAAGAAATCCTTTCATCCCTGTTACCTCGGTTCGACTCTCTGTGTTTATTCTCCAGAATGCGGGCATCTGAAACAAAAAAGGGGGTTGAGAAACTGTTAGCTTCTGTCTTCCACACAGTGTGCCGCGTATCGCGTGGCAACAACACGATAAATAACGCAATTCCTATCGTTTACCGGCTCGTAAAGACCGGTAACAACAAAGACAATGATATTCAAATTTTATGTTATTCTCGTTTCCCACCCCACCCCACCGCGAAAACATCGAAGCAAATCTCTTTATCCTCACCGCTCCTCGATGCTTCCTACTGTTCTTATAACAGCGTTTCTCAACCTTTTTGCCACGCAACATATTTCCATACCGCGTTTAATATACATTCGACTTCCAAGGATTCCATTCGATTCGAATTAAAAGATTAAAACGAACGCGAAATTTGGTGTACAAAAATGTAGATCGAGGTTTGTTAAGTCACAAATAGTTTAAATTCTCGTTAGATGAGGTGAGATGGATAGAATGATTCTTTCAGCTAACGCAAACTTAAATAATTTAAGAAATAAGCTTCGAATCGATCCTCCAAAGTTGATTAACTTAATACTGATTATATCAGTTGTAATATATGTAATACTAGAGACGTATAATGAGATGAAAATATCAGATCACAAAATATTTGAAACAGTTTTGCAATTATTATTAATTGCAAGATATATCTCGAAACAAGTTTTAATTAAAAGATCAAAGTTTGCCATAAATGAACGATTCTGTATCTGTCTAATGCTATCATTTTCTTTTTTAAATTTCATCAAGTTCGAAAAAATTTAACGATGAAGAATCGACCAAGGATATAAAATGGAAATTGCAACATCTCGAGAATCTCGTATTATTTGAATCGTTTTATAAAAATATATGGTTCCATTGTGTGTGAATCACGAGTTTTAATTAAAAGATATGTAACGATAATTATTAAATATAATTCTATTCATTAATAATTCGATAAATATTCATCTATAATTGGATAACTATATTTCTATTCAAAATTTGCCATAAATTAACGATTCTGTATAATTATGTAAAATGCTATCATTTTTTTTTTAAATTTCATCAAGTTCAAAAAAATTTAACGCTGAAGAATCGAGCAAAGATATAAAATGGAAATTGCAACATCTCGAGAATCTCGTATTATTTGAATCGTTCTATAAGCATAAATATATGGTTCCATTGTGTGCGAATCACGAAACGCGAGAGAGGTCATAGATTGAGATGCACTGTCTCATGGCATTCATCCTCTGGAACGTTTTCGTTAAAGAGCAAACGCGACACTAAGCCTTATTTCATTCAAATCGCAAAGGGGAACGTATATCCGTGATATTTGTTATCGAACGCTTGTCAGACGAGCCTTTTATCTTTATTCAATGCTCTCTTTCTCTTTCTCTCTCTCTCACTCTGTGTGACACGAAATAAAATATACGCTTTAAGCGTTTTTCTCTTCGTTCTCTTATTTTCTTCGTAATAACTTTGAGGAACGATCAAAGTTTGAAAAATATAATTTTACAATTTGGAAAATGTTGTTCCGACTCGTTCTTAAGAAATTAAAGGGGATTAAAAGTTTAGTAGATACGTGATATATCTGATGTAGGGTGGAAACGCGATGAAAACGGCAGTCGAGTTTTGGATTCAACTCTCTCGGCTCCCGTTTTAATTGTATCACATTTAACGAGACGTGATTGTGTTACGCTCAAGTTCGCGCGAAAAATTATACACAATGCGACAAACATTTCGAGGGACGTGTATTTTTGCGAGGACGTGTACGACGTGGATTAAAAATACTAACGTAAGATCGTGTTGTAATTAAAATACGAGGATTACTCGTGATGAGAAAAGAAGGAGGACAGGAATCCTGGTTTTATATCTACTTTAAAATTATTAATTGGTATCTCTGTCGAATTAAATTAATTAATCAATTATTTTAATACGTTTACGTCCGGTTCGTGGAATACTTTTTAATTTGTAATAAAATTTATTTTTTTTTAAATATTCCATTTTTAATCTTTATATAAAATATCAGGCAAGATATGAATAAAGAAAAAGTAATAAAATCCCTAATTTTGGAGTCTAATTGCGAATAAAAATACTTTCTAAAAAATTAAAATAATTCAATTTTTATTCTTCTCATATCGTCCTTCAGAAATTATACGTAAAATAATTGATTACACATTCCATCCATATTTCATCCAACTAAAAACTAAAATCAATTCCTTCACCGAAACCAATGAAAATCGCCATTTAACATTGATATCCTTTAAAAACGTGCATAAAATCAAATCGTACGCGATTGAAATAAATCATTACCCAATATCGAAATAACTACAAAAATATATATATATATATATATACAATTTATTATTCCAACCAAATAAAACAAACGACTGAAATAGAATAAAAGAATCAAGATACCATCCAAAATCGCATCGTTTAATCATCCGAAAATAATTATAGCCACGCTAGGCAACGCGTACGAGGAAAATACGGTGCTGCGCGTGCAACATTTAGCCTACCCCACCGTTTAATGACTATTTATACAACGATTAAGGTACAAAGTATCCTCCTAACCTAACCGCTATCACGACGTCCCCGAACGTACCCACGAACTCTGGCCGCGGAAACAACGACTATATTCAAATTTCATCCACCAACCTTCCTTACCTATCCCCCCGCCGCACTCCACAAACCTCCAAAACAAATCCTTTTATCCTTCCTCCTTTCCTCCGAACCACCCTGAACACCCATCCTCCTGGAGGGGTAAAAGGAGTGTGGCTCGGGTAAAAGGAAGCGGTGCAATTCCACGCCGAGAGAACACTTCATCAACCGCTTCGAGGAAACGTACATATGTATGCTGCGCAACACGCGGTAGATGTATATATATATATATATATATATATACATATATGTATATATATCCGCGTGTATCTCACGTGCTACGCTCAAAGTTGCGCGACCTAGAGAGCAAAAGGACGAGGCCAAAGTAGAAACGGAACACGGCGTGTGTAAGGTTATTCTGACGGTTCTTCCGGCAAACGGCGTACAAACTGCTTGTTATTATTTCATCGAACTGTCGGTTCAACAGGTACTCGTTTCCTCGCGGAACGATACGTTGTGTTTCGAGGAGGGGGGAAGGGTTGGAATTAAGCAAGGAGAATTAAAAGAAGGAAGGATTGGGAAAGAGAAGAGGGAAGGAGAAGGGGTTACTTGGTATCGAAGTGCGCGCACGCTCGTTGACCATCTCGTTCCATTCGCCATCTTTTTCCTCCGCGACGAAACAAGGAAGGAAGGGAGAGCCTTGAGCGAAACTGGCCCCAGGCCAAGGCATTATTTTCGAGGGAAGGAAGAGGGGGTGCAAGGGGAGGCGTGTGACAGACCGAGAAAGAAGGAGAGGGAAAAGGAGAGAGAGAGGAGAGCGGGTTGGTAGTCCAAATGAATATTTAATTTCTGCATATCTCACCCCCGGCTAAAGTTTAAAGTACGGCGAGGCAGCCGCCTATCCCAAGGGGACGAAAGGAAGCTTCCTTATCCCTTGTGATACAGGGTAAAGTCCTCCGCGGAAGTCGTGTGCCCTTCGTTTCGGTTCAGAAACACACCTCCTCCCCCTCCCTCCTCCCACGCCATTGTCTATTTTTCTTTATCGCTTGTTTACTTGCTCTTGCCTCTCCCCTTTGTTCCCTGCACTCAGGATTTCGCTGCCCTAGTTTACATTTTTTAACCACCTTTTAACCCACCGTGCTCGTCTTTTATCGCAGCCCCACCCTTTGCTTTTTTCACCCGATACATTCTTCCCGTTTTTTACGATTCCTTCTCCATCGACTCCTTGCCCTACCTTTTCTTCCTTGCTCTTTTACGGACGCAGTTTCGAGTTTCTTTAATTCTTCATTCTCGTCGCTGCTCACGTACTTTCTCGATTTTTTACCCCTTACCTCCCTCCCCACTTCACTTCTCCTCTTTTTCGCACATAATTTCTCTTGTCCCATATTTCTCTCTTCACCCTCTCTCGAAGTTGGCCATTTTCTCTGCTTCTCCTTCTTTCTTTCTCTGGTTACTCTCTGTCTCTCTTTCTTTTTCTCTTTTTCCTCCGCGAGATTTCTTCTTCCTTTTTCCATTTCCCTGTCCCCTTTCCCAGCCCGGCTTTTAGTTCTCTGTTTCTCCATTTTTCTCCCTCCCGCACATCCCCTCTCCCCCTCCCTCGTTTCTCCATTTCTCTATTTCAAACTCTCCTTATTTTTCCCTACTTTTTCCCCCGCCAACACGAACTTCTTTTTGCACCCCTTTCTTTATATCCCGCTCCCATTTGTCCACACAGCCCTACCACCCCTTCCCTCCTTTCCTTTTACTCTTCTCCTTTCCTAATTACAGTTTGTTGTTGCCCTATTTTTCTCTCCACTTTCTCCCTCCGCTTCTCGAACCCTTCGAGAACCCCTCTCGTGTCTTCCAACCGGCCACTGTATCCACGCGACCATGTCCCTTCCCTCATCGATGCAAATCATTGCTTCCTGTCTCACTTCCCCTCTCTTCTTCTTCCCTTTCTCTATTCATCCTTCTCCATTCTCCATGATTCCTTTCGTGGCCACCCTCCATTGTCTCTTTCCATCCCTAAACTTCTTCACCCAATCTCACCTCCTCCTCCTCCTCCCTACTTGCCTCCTCGAGCGAGCTTCTTCGACCCTTACCCTTTCACCGCTTCTTTTTCGACTTGGCCTGGTCCAAGGGCCAATTACGGGGCTGCCTGCGATGGAACGTGGCGATGAGAGAAAGAGCGCGATAGGAGGAGAAGTCCACGAAGATGGAGTCACAGGTTTGGCAAGAAAAAGTAGAGTATAATTGCGAGAGAGCGGCGTGGAAGGGTGGAGGGTGGTCGAAAGTGTGGAAGGGCGTAGTGGCTCACTGAGATCCGTGGTCCAAGATCTATAGTATATAGGTAAGGGGCTAAGCTTCGGCTTAGGAAACTTGGAACTGGACTTGAAGCTCTATCTTCGTTATCGTGATATAGGAATAGATGTTGCTAAGGCAAAGATGATTGCTTG